ATAAACAGTTTGCTTTGAAGTGATTGTGGTTCCCTACTTATTTCTCAGCGTAGAAAGAGACAACATCCCGCTCTAATCCTCCTGTTTCAGAAGCAGAATCCAGGCGAACGAGGGACCTGGAGGGCATTACGACTTAATGCAACATAATTATGGCAGAATTAAGGAGAAACAAAAAAAAAAAATTATAAAAATGTAGCAGGCGTCATGTGACAAACTTAACCTTTAATTTTTGTATCTTAAATAGCTTTTTTTCACCCACGACATTTGCAATAAATAATCCAAAAGAAGATAGATTATTGTAATTTTTAATAACATATCTAAAATCGTCATCTTTTCGACGGTTGATTTAATTCATTATCATACAAACTTCAAGCCAGTAAAAATACTCTTCCACGTTTACAACAATGACATTTTTGCCTTTCACTTTGTCAAAATTTTGCACAACAAAATTCACTTTCTTAATTTTCTAAGACTACAGCTGTTTTAGCTGTGTTAAAAAAATTTGGGTAAAGTAGAAAAAAGTAAGTGATAATTAAAGAATTGGTTGACCTAACATAGTGTCCCCTAAAGACTCGAAGCGTTTTTGTTTAAACTACTTTTAAATCGCGTTAATGCAACAGAATCTTTTGAATTGTTAAAAACAGTTGACTGAAAAGTTAATTGTACATTTAAAGATGCTGCTATTGTTCAAGGTTTAGTGCATCATGATTCCCAAATTATTAATATTTTTAAAGCATGTTACGTTATGTTGCCATGCCTATGAAGAAAAATTGTGTGCATGATTTTTTATGTCTGGAGGTATTTGTGGCAAAAATTTATGGACAAACTTGAATAATTTTTTAATTAAAGATTTTAAAAAATAAATAAAAATATATTAATGATTTATTACAGCTAAATTTAATTTTCAAATTTGAAGGAAACTCTAAGAAATTCCCAAAAAAACCGTAAAAATAGTTAAAAGAATATTGCATGATTCGTGGGGAACAAATAATCATTTTGGTAATAAATTAATTTTTTTAGAAGGAGATTTTCGACATATGTGTTAGCAAATTGTAGGAATAAAATAATTATTAAGAGAATGGTAGAAAGTAACTAAAGAGGACTACGAAACATATTAGAGCGTTTCTCAGACAAGGTGGACATGTTTCAGACAGAAAGCTGAAAGGAGAGGTGCAAAAAGAAGTTTAACTACAAATGACACGATAACTCACAAAATTTATCCTTGTATAGAGATGCCATGGAAGACTGGCTCAAGGGAATTCCTTAAAATTGTGAGAGTAGCTTATTAGGTTCTACGGTTATTGGATTATGGGGTCTAAAGAGGGTGAGGTAGATAAGGGCTAAAGAAAAATCCACCCAACAAAAATAAAGTAAAAAGCAATAGAATTTTACCTTATTTAGTGGGGGGTGGAAGGGGGTTGTGCGGAATGGGCATTTAAAATTACTTTTTTGTATGCACGCGCGCGCGCGCGTGTGTGTATGTATGTTTGTCAAAAAATCTTTCCGCTAGATCGTCTGACGTCGCCGTACGATCTAAGTGAAAGAGAGGACGAGAAGCAATGAAAGAAGTGGAAGCGAGATACAGGACACAGAGAAAATGGCCTGTACCGTGGTAAAGTTACATAGTGTTTAGCACACGGTAAGTGGCGCGCCGGGTTGTGTGAGCAAACAGTATTATTACATCAGTGAATAAAATTTGAATCATTAAACAAATAAGTGTGTCATGTTACATACTTATATGTAGTAAATGGGAAAATTTATATGCTGATGTATAAATAACTACAACAAAAAATTCAGCGTGCTTATCTACTTGCCTCATGAGCGATGTGGAAAAAAAAGATTAAGAAATTATTATGTTGTTTTTTTTGTTGTTTTTTTTAAGAATAAAATAAATTATGATGTTTCAGGTAATAATACATATGAGATCATACAATTTCGAAAGATGTTAGGCTACAACAAAAATAATGGTATATTTATAGTGTAATGAACTAAGGTGTTCTCTTGCATACAAAAGAAATGTACCAATGAAAAATTGTATTTTTTTCCTCATTTAATAGTGGGCATTAAATAACAGCAGAATAAGACGTTTTTCAAAATGGTTATAGAGGGAAAGGGCGTGTAGACATACTCACCAAAATAAATCTATAACGTAGAAAGATTTTAACGTAATGTAATTTATTAAACCATTAAATTGTTTCACCTCATAAACTACCTTTGTTCAAAAAGAAAAGACTTATAATCAAAATTGTAATTTAGACAAAAACTGATTAAACAGAAGAAATCCTAATTAAAGTTATTGAATAGTTTAGGTGCGGTGTACACAAATTTAAAAATAACAGGTATCTTAGAATAATGTTAATTGTTTGATATGGGGGGTGAGAGGTTAGCCCCTCTTGACTCTATAATAAAGTAATCTCACAAAAAATTCTTAATAAATGTTAGGGGCTGCGGGTAAATAACACATATTGACTCTATAATAACGTATCTTTACAATACACACAAGTTTTGGTGAAGGGTTGAGGGGAGTGGCTGTGGGGCAGGCTACTTAACCCATATGTACCTTTCTATAACAAATTTTCATAAAAAATTCTAAATTTTTTTGGGGGGCTGTTAAAGACACACCTAGTTTTCAAAGCGGTTTGTGGGGGAGTTCAGACATTTGTTTTTAAGTCATAATCACAGAGAAGTACAGAGAATTTTCCTTTATTATAAAAGGGGGTTTAGGTGGGGGTGTTGGAAAACAGGATAATCATAACGTTTTCTGAAAATATTTTAAGTTTCTGTGGAAGGTAGTGGGGGGATGTAGGGGCCACTAAGTTCGTAAGGTGAGCCAGTGGTGATAGTGGGGTGTTAGGAGCTCACATTTTTTGTGCTAAAATTATAGAGAAATATTAAGAACTCTCCCTTGCTAGTAGTAGGGGGACCAAGGGGGGTATGAAGGGTTCACAATTCTTTTATTCATGACTAAGGTGATTTTTTGTGTTGAGGACCTTCGTTATAGTTGGCAGTAGGAAAGTTTAGAGGTGTGAGGGAAGCGTAAATATGTAGCAACTCTAAATTTTATTGTGTTATATTAATTGTATTTTATCATACAACAAAAATTCGAAGACTTCTACGGATTATTTTTATATAAATGCAATTTCATAAGAATCTGTCGGAAGGTTACATGTCCTGTTAAGATTTTTTTTAATCTAAACATGTACAGACGGTACAGTTAATATTATTTTTAATCATTCGCATACATTATTATTATGTTTGCAATATATTTTATTAATATTCTGTTAATTATCTATTTTATACAATTGAACAAACATTTATTATTAAAAATGGTTTCTCATCAAGTTCTAGCTATTCTTTTATGCGTATATATTTGATACATTTATATTTATATTGCATCACATTGAATACATCACAGTGGGTTATTGAACAAATTTTTTCGTAAAAGGTAGTAATTAAACGTAATTGCTTCTACGCAGATATCATTTGCTTCTATTTCTAAGCACGGTTATAAAACTAGCAATAGTTATTGCGTACCAAATTACTACGAGGATATATCCCATAAGGTTTTTGTTTTTAGACCCAATGACTATAAACTACTAAGAACCTTTTAAGGTTTGTTTTACCAAAAAATCAGTTGTTTGTCAAGTTTTTGACTTTCATTTAACATATTTCTTACAAAAATTGATAAATAAAAATTAAAAATTTACTCGAGTCACTTTTCTTTTAGTCCCTGGAGCTGAAGTTGGAGTAAAAATTCCTTTTCGTCTCTTTTTTTTTTTTTTTTTTTTTTTTTTTTGGAGAGAAAAGATTCCAAAATCGTTGATTTACTCTCGTGCATAATGCGTCTATACAAGTATAACTTTAAAAAAGTAACACAACAGGAAAATGTTTCCGTTCAGTCGCAGAAGATGCTGCAGCTAAAGATAAATTTAAGCTTCCTCAATTTACATCGGAAAACCAAGAAATAAAAAACTTAGTGCAGTTAAAAATTTCAATGCACAGTAATTTGATGTTAGATTGTTTATCTTTACCAAATTTTCTTTGCTTAGGACACTTGACAATTGTGTTAGTTCTATGATGCAAGAGACGATCATGGGTTGCTTTATTTACTCCTTAAGAAGTAAGAACCTTACGTGATGCAGGTCCAAGTGTAGAATTTATCTGTTCTTTGTTGTCCAATATAGTATTAGATACAAGCATGCGAAGACTTAAAGTGTATTTTTTAGAAAATTCAGCAATTCAATAGCATACGATGCGTCAAGCAAAGTATTAACCTAGAATTCTTAAACCGGTTCTTAAGAGTCTTTCACATAAAAGAGTTATTTACATCGATTTTGTTATTGATATTATTTATTAACTTGGATGAGCTCTGCCGAATCTCCCACCAACATGATTTCAAATATTCTAATTCTGTGGCATCGGAAATGTTAGTTACATTGTAGACTAGCGATGTAAATAATCCTCAAAAACTTTTCCGGTCCTTAGAATTCCCTGGAAAGGTAGAAAGCAAAAGTTTTTGGACTGCACACTGTACTTACTTTCACTCAACACTTGTTTAATACCGGGCCACCAACAAATGTTTAAGAACTTACTAAAATAATCAGCATTGATAACTTACGTGTGAGAAAGAAGTGTCAAGAAGTACAAAAAAAAACTATAATTTATTCACAAATTGTATATTTATTATCTGAAACGTAGTTGTATTTTTTGTAATATTTAAATTTAGTATACAACATGAACCATTTTTATCGTTCATTATTTTCTTGTCCAAATGAAGTTTAACGTATGAACTTTCAGTTTTTCAATAGAATAAGGGGTTATTTCATATCATTCAACATAATGTGTTTAAAATCAAGATATAAACGTAAAAGTCAAATGGCATGCCCAGTTGTTGCATACTTAAATGTAGACAAAAGAAATAATTTAAATTGTATAGTGTATGATATTTTAATATTACATTTAATGTTTATTTTTCTTACTTGTTTTAATATTTTTTACAGTACAGTCATAGGTCTTCAAGGAAAAGATGTGGTTGTATTTGCGGTTGAAAAATTAATAACATCAAAGCTGTATGAGCCATTTACAAATAAACGAACTTTTAATATTGATGAACATATTGGAATGGCTGTATCGGGACTCATTTCTGATGCTCGCCGTATTGTAGAAACAGCTAGATTGGAAGCTGCAAACTATAGAGCACAATATGGTATTGGAATACCACTAAAATATTTAAATGACAGATTGTCTATGTATATGCATGCCTATACATTATATTCAGCCGTTAGACCTTACGGTTGTTCAATTATTCTCAGTAGCTACCAAGATAATCCAGAAATGTATGTGATTGATCCATCGGGAGTTTCATATGGATTTTATGGGTGTGCCATTGGTAAAGTATACATTATCTTCTTGTTTATTTTATTTTATTCATTTATTCATGTAGGAATTTACATCTTCAATAGTACTAGTCCTACTTGACAAGAATCGATGTCAAGTTGATTAAATAAACAAGTGACTTCTAATTTTTTAGCCAATCTTCCTTTTTATTCGTTACAAATATGACAATCGTTTCGGTATCAAAGTATCTTCATCAGACGCATGTACAACAAAACTAAGTAAAACACCGCTTTCACTTATTAAATGTACACATATTCAACGTCAATTAAAAATACATGTATTTAAAATGATTGATTGTTGAAAATGTGGATTTAAAAATCATGATGGTGAGGTAGCAAGAGAAAACATGGATTTAGGATTCTGGTTTTTGACAAAAAATGCACTAAGCATGCATATAAATGAAACTGTCAATAGGATAAGGAACACAATCAATACAGTATAGGGAGTATTAAAAAAAAGCAAGTATAGGATACTTAAAAGGGAGATTGTACTTCTTAGATACAATAAGTAAAGCAAGATGCCTATACGGAGTGGAAATATGGGGATAGGAAAAATGAGAGCAAATCGAAGAAGCGTAAGAAGAATTTGTTAAAATGACAATGGGAATAAATAATAACACACCAGCATACATTTGGAAATGGGAAGTAAATATACACAGCCTAGAAATGGAGACGAAGAGGAGAGCGAGAAACTACATCAGGGAAATAAAGAAAATGGAGAACAATAGGTGACCAAAAATTTGTCCAAAGTAAAAGATAAGGGGAATCAAGAATGAAAATGCTACAAAGTGGAACAGATCTAAAGAGAAGGCATTCAAAGAAATTGGGGACAGCGAGGAAAAATCTGGTCTGTTTGAGGAACAGGGATCACGGTGGTTCGGAGAAAAAATAAAAGGGGGAATGAAAATTGTAACAGACCAGGAAAATTAAAATAGTTAAGAACTATATTGACAGGTAAAAGTACTGTGACTATCACAAACATATAAAAGAGGAACTAGGCATCGAAAAATATTGAGGTGACAGGAAACGAGAGGGATGGATTAAATAACAGTGGGCCAGATTAAGATGTGCGAGCGTAGGTAAGGCGGGAAACAAAGGGTTTTGAAACGTAGACTGTAGGGTTTGATTAAGGAAAAAAAAAGATACTAGAACATATTTTTGTTTGCAAGGCAGAAAAAAAGGAATTAAGCAAACAAGTGACAAAAGAGGTGGACAGTTTAGGATTAAGAGACCAGGAGGAATGCAATTAGACGAAGGCTTATCACACTATTAAAAGGGGATCCGAATAAAGGGATGTGTAAATTGTTATGGGGCGCAACCGAAGCGGAATAACGAAGCGGAGACTTAGACCTTGTCCGGCCCTGTGTTGCCCGGACACCCTCGGCAACACTCCCTTTAATCTGTATTTACGCGAGCCGCTGGGACTAGGTATCGCGGCTACAGGTGTCGTCGCTTCTCGCAACGACTCGAGTAATACAACACAAAGGGGGAAATAAGGCACACTAAGGAATGAGCACTCGTGAGTTATTTTAAAATAGATATTATATTTTAAATAAATATAACAAAAATACAACGAAGCTCGCGAGTTGAAGTGTGTGTCTGTGTGTGTACGCTCGTCGAGCAATCGCGCTCGACGTGCTCGCAGCGCAAAATCTCGGCACAGCTAGACTTAGTACGCAGGCTAACAAGGGCTGCTGCCCATTACAATAAATTGCCTGCTGACAGGTACTTACAGGCGCTATGCTGAAGCACTGGTACTTCCGGTCGTCGAGGAGTAAAGGACAGATGACCTCGGACACCCTGAAGAGCGCTTTACACCCTGAAGGCCGCACACATAACAGTGGACAGGGCGGGTGGCGCTTCCCGTTGCCTGGGTCTAGAGGGTGCGGGCCTTCAGTAAGCGGCGTTCGGCCTCTTGGTGGAGTTGCCGCACTTGGGCCTCTGCCTTTCTATCTGCCGATGGTGGCGATCTTTTCCGCCTTTGCCGTCACAACCGTGGAGCCGTGCTCACGCACGAAGGCCTCCACCTCCGTGAACGCAGCGATCGCCTCCTGGCGACTTGCCACGATATGATGGTGGGCCTAGTCAAGGCGTTCTTAAATACCTTGCCAGGTGGCAGCCCGACTATCCGGTTCTGCCGTTTGGTCCAGGCCCGTTGGTTGGGGGCCTCCCACAACCTCTGGCGCTGGTGGATCTATCGACGGAGGGTTCGCCCGGTCCTGGCACGGATGCTCCATTGCCAGCTGTGAAGTTGCCTCCCCCTGTGAGGTGAGGCCCTGTTGAAAGGTCTCGACAAGCTCATTGGACTCTTGCTCATCTTTGACGTGCCTGAGGCGCCTAATAAGACCACCCATGCTTAGTTACGTCGACTCCATCTGTAATAACTCTGCCCCAAGAAAACAAAAAAAACAAAAAGCGGGGGAGGAAGAAAAAAACATGATTAGATTGTATGGAGGCGCTTACAGTACTAACATCTCGCCAGTTTTCGGGGTCGCAAACATCGCGCGTCGTTTGGTGACTGACTCGTCGCTTGCTAGGACATCGTCACGTGGTCTGCTGTCGCTCGCAGGGGTCATAGCCGCGGTGGGTGGCTTCAGCACCACAGTAACTTTACGCGGGTGGCCTCGCTTTGGCCTGGCTGGTCTGGCAGCCTCGCTTACATCAATTAGGCTCGCATTAGGTGGGTCGCGCTTCGCTTGTTCGCCGCTTTCCAACAGTGGTTGAGGAGCGCTGACCACTACTTCTTCGGATCCCGAGGCGCTAAAAGGAGGGTCTTCTCCCGCTGTTGCCGAGGCTCTACTCATGTAGAGTTTCAAGTGCTTTACGTGTATAGGGCCTGAGCGCATGCCTTCTTTGGATTCCAACTCGTATGTGTTGGAACTCAATGCTCTCATGATAGTAAAGGGGCCGACATACCTTGGAACCAATTTCGCAGCCACACCCTGTGTTGCCAAAGACAAGACGTGGTTCTCCCGCCATATCTAGTCACTGGGGACGTCAACCACGTCACGATGTTTGGCATTGTATGCCGGGTGGTATTGGCCTGTGCCTTATCGTTTCGCGGGCTGCTTCAGCATGCAGCATCGGCAACCGCTCCATGCGTTGTTTCCAGCTCTCCAGTGCTTCTTCCTCTAGGCACTGCTGGGCCGTTGAATCGACCTGTTGATCATGGTCTTCATCGTGCGGTTCAGGCGTTTGACTGGATTTGTCTGTGGCTGATATGGCGGCGTAAGCGTGTGTCATATACCCAGGTTCTCCAAGAACCCATTGGCATCCTTGTTTCGGAACTCGGTGCCGTTATCCATCAGCAGCGATTCCAGGGTACCATGAAAACTGATGACGTGCTCTCAGCACAGTCACAACAGCTTTTCCGTTGGCCCACCGTAGCAGCACAACTTCGGCCCACCTAGTGAATAAATCGTCGACCACAAGGATGTATTCGTGGCCACGCGTCGTCTTTGGTAGGAGGCCTTTCATGTCAGCTGCCACTACCTGCCATCGAGAGGTGATGACCCTATGCCCTATAAGTCCCGGAGGTAGCCTCTTGTCTACCTTGGCTTATTACACACGCACAAATGTCTTCTCACGGCTCAGATGGCTGGCAGATGACGTTTCATGACACTCCTGGAGAACTTGATTGTGCTGGTTTTCAGGTACTACCAGCTTCCAGGCTTCGGTGTCATCGATAGTCTCATCAACCGTGGAGTCGGGGCGATACGGGTATAGGTATACCCCGACAATTTTCCATTGTGGTTATCCGTGTGGCTTATCCCGTACCTTTTGTACCATCTCTTGGTACCAAGGATCTCCAGCAGGGGGTTCCCATATTAGTGTTGCCACAGTGCAACTCTCGTCATCCTCGTGCACTCGCGACAAGGCGTCAGGTACGCAGTTTTGCGTCCCTTTCCGGTGTTCAACCTCAAAACCATGGCTTTGAAGCTCCATGGCCTGTCTTGACAGTCGTCCAGTCGAGTTGTTGATGTTTACTAACCACTGGAGACTGCTGTGATCGGTCACGACTTTGAAACGTGTCCCTTCCATATACGGGTGGAACTTTTGCGTCGCCCATAAAACCGCCAGTCATTCTCGCTCTGTCACGCTGTAGTTGCGTTCAGCTGGTGTCATCGAACGGCTCGCAAACTCCAGCACTTTTTCCTGTCTATTGACTATCTGTGACAGCACGGTGCCTAATCCGGAGTCACTGGCGTCCGTTTGCACCATGTACTGACTTTCGTTGTAGTACAACCGAGGACGTCAGTAAAGCCTTTGTCTATTCGAAGGATCGTTTCTGCTCGTCTTTCCAGTCGAACGGCTGATTCTTACGCAACAGCTTGTTGATAGGTTCTACAACCGTCGAGGAGTTTAGCAGAAACCGCCTAAGCTGTTTCAGGTTCTTCGGGGCCGGAAGTGCAGTAATTGGCTCTAACTTGGCCGAATCCGGTCGTTAACCATCTCGGTTTACGAGAGCACCGAGGTATCTCACCTCTGGTTGGCAGAACTCGCTTTTCTCTCGGTTGAGAGTGAGTCCTGCATCACGAACACGTTGCAGTACGTGCGCCAGCCATTTGAGATGTTGCTCGAATGTCTCCGTGACAATTATTATGTCATCGAGGGAGGCGTAAGCATAGGGCTTGAGCTCTGGCCCAATGACACTGTCAATTAGCCGCTAAAACGTTGCTGGCGCATTACTCAGGCTTAAAAATAACCGTCGGAACTGAAAGAGCCCCTTGCCTGGTACTGTGAATGCTGTTACCGGCTTAGCCTTCTAGGCTAAAGGTACCTAGTGATACTCGCTGCTGAGATCATGGGTAAAGATAAAACGTGCTTTCCTTAACTTGTGCAGGATGGTATCCATATGTGACAATAGATACGCGTCGGGTGCTGTCACAGCATTTATCTTCCGGTAGTCGACGCAAAACCGATACTTGCCATCCTTTTTACGTATCATGACTACGGGACTTTTGGATGGCTCAATCACGCGCTTTTCGAGCAT